CAATTGTATTGGTCTCCTATTAGTTGCTAGGTGCCATCAAGTCAGTGGTGACTCATAGCAACCCTATGTACAACAGAACACAACATGGTCTAGTCCTGCACCATCGTCACAATTGTTATTTTGGAGCCCATCATTGAAGCCACTGTATCAAATCCACCTCAACTCATACTAGATGTTGGAAGTGATCCTTCTACTCTTTGAAGTTTATGTAGATTTCAATATCCATTTTAACCTAAATAGTTGATCGATCCTTTACCACCAGTGCCTCGGTTTTCTTTTGGTAAGATTTTTAAAATACAAACTCAGGACTTTCATAAATATGGAACACTTCTAGATTTTCTGTTTCTTGCATCATTTATGACAAGTTGTGCTTTGACAGGCATTTGTCCATTCCATCTAAGTTGTTGAATTTATTGACATAGTTGTTACAATGGCCTTATCTTTAATGACAATAGGTTACACAATAATGAATACTTTTTCATTCTTGATATTACCAATTTGTTTTCTTTTCTACTTGATTACTCTTGCTAATTGGTTCTCAATTCAATTACTTGGTCCTTTCCTCAATGTACATTCATACATCATGTTCGATTTTAGATCTGCTTTTCTTTTTTCAGTAGTTTCCATTTCTCTATGGACATTCTTTCTTCATGCATATTTTCAGCTAGATGTTTCAGCATTTTTATCATAGTTATCAATCCCTGGTCATTCCAACATCCAAATCATCTCTTGATTTTTCTTTGATTGAGCCCTCTGTGTGACAATCTGACCTGTAGCTGAGCTGCAGTGGGACTTTTTGTAGCTTTAGTTTGGTTACCTTTATCACAAGGTTAAATTATTTTGAGTGAATGATCAGGATTTCTTTTCAACAGGCTTGAGACATAAGTATTGGCAAGATTCTGGCAAAATGTTTGTCCTTGTTTGGTGAAATTTCAGCTTTCACACAATGAAGTATTTCTTTTTACACAACATCCCAATGGTGTATTTTAGTCACCAGGACATTCTCTTAGTAATTTACTCATGCCCTGAGCTTGCTTTACCTCAGGTGAACCCTGTGGAACTACCAAGTCCTTTTAAGGGTACAGTTGGTTACACTGTTAAGACTTAGAATGCCTGAGAAATGTTTTCCCTTTGTTTTAGATGATTTATATATTCTTACCTTCCTAGCAAGTAACTATTCTTTCTAAAACCAGCACCCTGGCTCAAAAAGAAGCCAGAAGAACAATATTTTGTTAGACAGGGTTCTCTAGAGAAACAAGACCAGGACACTTATGATTATATATATACAACATAACAAATAAACAGCTAATTAATCTATAGAGCAGTATTAGCTTCCATGAGACAGCTAATACACTGGCAGGCCTTCAAGTCATGAGGGCTGCTGGGTGCAAGTCAAGGAAGCAGACAGACAGCTGAGTCCTCTGTAGAGCAATTCAGGCAATCGGCCACAGGCAGCAAACAGCAAGGCAGGTCACCAACAGTCAGCCAGATGACAGGGTCTGACAGTCCCCAGCTCAAACAATGTATACTCCAGTAGTGTGGTCAAGCAGGTCTTGAAGGAACATCAAACTACAGCAACACAGTCCACGGGTTGGGTTTCCCACAGGCAGTGTAGCTCACAAGTTGAGGCAGAGAACCAGCTAATGCAGTCACGCACTGGTCTGATCATCGCAGAGCTAGAGACAAGAAAGGTGAGGCTTGCTGAGCCATTTATCTCTCCGCCCTTCAATTAAACTGCCTTTCAATTAATCCCACGTGTTCATTGGCCAGTTTGGAAGAATAAACCTACCTATCACAACTTTTAAACTTAGAAAGACACTAATAAGCTAAAATTTATTCAATTCTCATTTTGTACCAAGTCTGTACTGGCTACTACTGAAGAGATGTCTTTCTCACATGAATTTATTGAGGATGTACAACGTGAAATGTCATGCTAAGAATCTGCAATATCTAACTTACTAAGTTGGAAAAAAATGGTGTCTCTTCCTGTGTACCCAAGACAAAAAAGGAAGTAAGAGGTTTTCATTATCAGTGAGTATCTGACAATTTATTCTAAAAGGCAAACGTTAACACAAAATTGATTGATTCAGAAATGCCTTATCAATCTATCTAAGCTATGGCATCTGATGCTGGAAGCAAGATATAGTCTGAAGTGGGGCATGGTTGTATTCCACCAGTTTAGTCTTAGACGACAGATGACATATTTCTGTAACTTATTAGAGGATGGGCATTTCATCCCGTGGAGACCCTGGGTGGTGCAAATGTTCAATGTCCTCAGCTGCTTACCAAGAAGTTGGAGGTTTAAGTCCATGCAGAGAGATGAGTTGGAAGAAAGGCCTGTTGCTCTTTGGGGACTTCTGAATAATCAGCCAGAGTGGAGCACAGTGACGCACTCTGATATGCATGAGGCCACCATCAATTGGCTAAATAGCAACTGGCTTCTGCTGGCATCTTCTCCTCTCTTGAGCCTTATCCTCTTGGCACCTTATCCTCTCCGGATATTGTCAGGCTTGGTGGTTACGCATTGCCAACTGCATGGTCAGCACTCAGACTTCATCAGCTGCTCCATGGAAGAAAGGCCAGACTTTTTACTGCTGTAAAGAATGCGTCTCAGAAACCCTCAGGATAGTTCCACCCTGTCCTATAGGCTGCTATGCGTCAGCATGAACTCCACGGGAGTGAAGAGAGAGGTTCTTTCCCGAGGTTAAAAGGTAACTAAAAGAATGAAAATACTATCCAAGTAGTACAAAGAGGCTTCAAAAAAGCTTGTAGAAAAATTCCATGAATCTTTCAGTCTCATTTTCCACAAACTTTTTTGAAGGCCCCTCATATTTTTGTCTTGAAAAAAAAATTCTTTGCGGTGTTAGTGTGTATCTCTAAGACTGATTTCTAGGAATGGACAAACAAGTCTATGTTCATCCCTGTACCTCCTTCCCCCACATGTAACTTATAATATTAGGAACCTTGATTATATTTCCCTCTCAACAACCCATTTTTAAAGACTGAAGAGCTGTTAATTTCCTTAACATAATGTGGTCTTTTACAGCTTCTTTAACATCTTGATAAACAGAAATCATCACTAGGTGCTGTTTCATTGGTGTGGCTGCCCCAGGGTTTTCAAAAGCATGATCATGTTTGTTTGTTTTAATAATTTTATTGGGGGCTTGTACAACTCTTATCACAATCCATATGTATATCAATTGTGTAAGTACATTTGTACATTGGTTGCCCTCATCATTCTGCATGATCATGTTTTATAGTTTCCTCTCAATTAAAGAAATTTAGTGATGCAAGTATTCAATCCATTGTTTAGAGGGATATATCTTCCATATAGGTGAATGATATTTTAGTTTCTCTTTGATCAGTCTAGAATGTCCTCAGAAATACTACTAATGCTTATCCCCAGCAATGTATTCATAACTGAGAACTTGGGTTCCATCAAAGAAGCATTTCCCTTAAATTATTCCCTTACACTTTAAAGTTGTGCTCACCACTGTTTCTTTTAGGCATGGATCCAGCTTTTCTAAACAGACGAACCCTGTTAATATTTGTGAGAAATTCTTTTGAAGCCAGCTATGCCAGTAGGCACCCTTCTAAATGAGCATTTCATTCTTTTAATCTGATTAGGGATCTGTAAAGAATTCTTTGCTTGTGCAGACAATGATCCACATAGAAATTATCTAGCCACTTCTGTGACCAGAGAACAGAGGAGAAAATTGTGTTGGCAGATAGGTGTATGAAAATGATGTTTCTCAAGTGCAGAGTTTGTTCTTTATAATTTAAAGCCTACAAAAATCAATTCCCTTTCTTAAATTTTTAAAAATTATTATTTTATTATTTTAAAAATACTTTTATTGGGGGCTCTTACATCTCTGATCACAATCCATACATTGCTCCAATGTGTCAAGCAC